ACAATGACAGGACCAAACGAATATGCTAATAACCTCTTTGATTTCTTAAAAGATTTATGTTAAATTTGAAATAATAATAAAATTTCATCATTTAATATATAAATATAGGAAAAATTTATAAAAAATTCCGAAAAAGTGACCTTTCTAACATTGACAATAAACTGACCAACAACATCAATGACCTAACCGATGAAACTTTCTGTGTTATTTTATATTATTAAAAAAAATACAGGAAAAATATATGTTTTTGGGTAAAAAACTTGACCTCACCAACGTTGACTGTGTCCTGAATGTTGTACTACCTAATACTTATTTATATCTTATAGGATTTGTTTAAAATTTATTACAAAAAACAACATTAAGATTGAATGGTAAAGTCTTTATCAAATAATAAAAAACCCCTGGGGAAAACAGTTAAGGGTACTGTGACGAGCACGGGGTTATTTAAACTTTTTATAGTATGGAGTAGTAGATTGTATTTTACTGTGTTGTAAATCATGTCGTATATTACCGGTTATAATTTGACAAGTTTGATCACAAATATAAAGTAACACAAAAAAGGTGTGAAGTAGGCCAAAAATACATGTAAGTTGATAATTCCAATATAGTTTGTTTTTTTAATATTTTCTTAACAGTAAATAATTATTTCCACGTCCTACTTAAGGCATGCCCGAGCCTTGTGCAGGATATCTTGGTAGTTTTAAATATTTTCATAACAAACAAAAAAACATTTTGAGGACTACTTGAGGTATGCATGAGCCCTTGTATGCACGATATCTTGGTAGTTTAAAATATTTTCATAAAATATAAGTAAACAATTTCGCGGACTTAACTTGAGGTATGCAAGAGCCTTGTCTTAGTTTAAATGTATCCGAAAGTCAATAAATTTATCGTTTGCTAATATGTTTGAAAATCATTTTATATTTTCTTATTTGATAAAATTAATGGTTCAATCTAAGTGTTTCTATAAATTTGATGCAAAGCCTTTTATATTTAAATAGGTATATAGTCATTTTTCCTGGTCAAGATAACTGTCAGAATGTAGGACAGAAAGTCACAGACAAAAAGTCACATACAAAAAGTCACAGACAAAAAGTCACGGACAAAAAGTCACATGTATAATATGTTATAAACATTGAGTTCTGTTTCATAGTAAAATCTATTTTTTTTTTGTTAAAAGAAAGCCAATATACTAATTTTGAGAAACATCTTTCTGTAATGGGCTTTCAGTGAAAATCAAATTATATGTACATAAAATTGAGAATGGAAATGGAGAATGTGTCAAAGAGACAACAACCCGACCATAGAGCAGACAACAGCCGAAGGCCACCAATGGGTCTCCAATGCAGCGAGAAACTCCCGCACCCGGAGGCATCCTTCAGCTACATATATATAATTCTTTTAACTTTACCCTGTGTTAAGTTATCATATTGTCAATATTTTTTAATTTGCTGCTAAAAATCCATTAAGATAATCGTTATTTTCTCAAATTTGAATAATCCAATGCCTATTACTAATGTTAAGATAGTGCTACCTTAGTCGGATCCTGGGGGCACGAAGGACCTACCCCCGCCTTTCATTGGAAACATTTGGTTGAAAACATATGGAATCACTGAAGCATGTATGTAGCGGGCCCTCTCTTGAGGCAGTCAGTGGGACCCCTTATATGAAAATTGTCTAGATGTTATATTCCACCCCCACCCCCCGGCTGCTCGTCGTAAGACCCGCAGCTGCCCGCTGACAGATTTTCCGCGGGTCCTCGTAGGGAAATTGAACTTTGGGAATAAATCTCAAAAATTCCTCCCCGGCCAGAACGGCAAACAAGAAATATGTCGGATGAATAGCAGGGACCATCGGATCGACGGTTGACTGTACCCGACCTGGCTGGTTACGCCATTTGTTTGCTGAAGAACCCTTGCGTTAATTATTTTAGGGGCACCCTAGTTGACCTGTTGAAATTTGTGTCCTTGTCTAATTGATCCCGATTTCCAGTGATATTTCAAATTGTCCGCCTTCATCCAAGCCTACCCCTATTGCAGGACCTTTCTGAAATTGTTTGTTTTTCAACTTATTTCAAAAATTATCTTCATATAGAAACTCATCGTCCAATAATACAAATATTATTCAAAACATATAGCTATGCCTGCTTTTCCATTTCAACATTGAGTTAGAGAATGAATAAGAAAAATAAAAAGCTCATAATGTAGGTGTTTTTTCCTTTATACAAAGAAAGGTTAGATGGTCAATTATCATTTATTTAGAGAATCAACGTCTGACTCTTTTTGTTCTATTTTTTATTGTGTTGAATTGTATCAAATTATTACCTTTAATTAATTTTTGGTCACTAGACTAGCAGGGCCTACAATGTTCCTATTAAATTAAATGATTTTGTTCTCTTCTGAAATATGCATGAGATGTTTGACACTGGACATAAAGCAAACCACAACTAATCGATCATTTTTTTTTTACAAAATCTTACCCCCCCCCCCCCCCTCCCCATTTATTTCTGTGCCTCACACACACAATTTTAAGCTTGGCCTTTCTTGAACTGTCAATTTTCTGATTGTATCTTCTTAATATTATGTATAAATAGGTAGGAGCTAGAAGCTATAATTCCAAACTGTCAACACCAAGTCTTTGATCTTTTATCTTCACTACAGCATTTCAATAATTATAGTTGATGGACTGACTTATAAACACCATCGTATTTTGACACTGCATTAAATTGAAAACTTACAGAAGAGAGTTTTTTGTATGAGAGATTTAGTCTATTTTAAAGCGTTTTCTAAGTTTATGCGTATAATTTGTTGTTTCTATTGCAACACTTACACGAATAATGCCTGCAATATTATTAATATTTCTCAAATACAAGAAAACCTGCATAATGTAAGCAAAATTGTATACATTCATTGTTATATGTATCGAAGTTCTTTAAAACGAATTTGTAAAAATCAGCACTCATCCGTTATTTTGAAAATGGACTGCTTGTTTCCATGGCAACGAATTCAATGGCAAATATTGCACAATTGAATATATATAATTTTTGAAATGATTTTATTTGTTTTTTCTAGATTAAGTAAATGTTTTTCTTGTATATTTTTCATGATCATGAAATTAGACTGTAATTTCTTCATAATCAGCACTTTTATCCAGATTAGAGAAATTGTGTTTGTTTCCTTCAAGTGGTAACACCATTATCGATATACTATACTAGCAAAATTATTATTATATACACATGTGTGTATACAATGAAACTTGATAAGTGTTTTAGTTTTCGTACTTTTGTGCACATTTAAGAAACTAACTGAAACTTTTTCAAAATTGTTTTAAACTTGTGTATCATCATGAAATTGTTTCCATAGCAACACAGTTTAAACTATAATACCGTTATATATGAATATGTTTAAAATTTTGATGATTACAATAATTTCTACAAATTGTATATTTATTTATTTTTTCTGACTGCAGAATTAGGTTTTAAAACATTTTTTTTCAAAATTTTTCAATTTTTTTTTCTGAAAAAATTAAAACTAAGCATTTTGTATCCATGGTAACAAAATAATGAAACATACTTCCCCATGACTTTTTCGCGTCATTGATTAGATAAGACTATTGTATTTATGAATTCATGGTTGACTTTTACTCAGGTGTCCGCAAAAAAATTTGGTGAGCATTCAAAAATGACCTCAAAAGGGTATTTTTACCTAATGCAAACCACATAAAAAGGGGGGTATATGTGGTTATGATTGGAAATTGATATGAAAATATCAGTTATTAAATTACATTAATAAAATGCATATATTCAATAAAATCATAAAAAATTATTCTTTCACTTATTCATTTACTATGAAAAATTATGTTGAAAATAGCCTTTTTCAGCTTAAATCATAGATATCCAGAACAGGTAAAACTGGTCATCAGTTGCTATGGCAACCGATATGCATAGCAACCAAAATTTTGCAATTTTTTGTTTGTTTCATCAAGACTAGGAAGTGTGTGAAGTTTGAAGAAAATCGATGACCATGTGTGCCACACTCCCTATGTAAGAGTTTAAATAGTTACAGAGAACCAGTATTAATAAGTTGATAAGGTATTATCTGTTTTATTTTGCAAATCGATATTTTTGTCTTTTACTTTTTTAAATATAAATTATCCAGTCTTAAGTGTTTCGTTTAATAATGGAAAAAGCAACATCAATAGTAAAATTGAATGACAAAAAATTTAGTCTAGTAGTTTACATACAGTTGATAATCACATGGAACGTTTGAAGAGCATTTTCAAAAATGTTGCATACTCAAGGGTACTCTGATTTTTTTTTAACCAGGGTTGATACACATGGCATATGAAGCATATAGCACGTCGACGCACCCGGTCTCGATCATTTTAGAGTTGATGCAATTCCTTCAGTTTGTTTTTGTAACCTTGATCCTTGTATTCTTATTCGCTTTACGAGATTTTGAACATCAATAGACTACTATAATAGTATTGCATTTATTCATTTGATCTTTAACAGTTCAAATATTGACTGGTTTGTTATATGAAAATATCGACGTGATACAAGTAGGCTGAAATTTGTCAGTTTATAATCAGAATTTGTTTTTTGTCTTTTTCCTTGTTGTTGTTGATTTTTTTTTTTTTTTTTTTTTTCTCTTGAGACAGGTGTTTAAAAATCAAAACTATTCAACTTTCAAAAACATTTGTAGATTAAAAGCAATACACTTCAGATAGACAGTCCTAATTTTTGTATTGTTTGCTTGATTATTATTTTATAGTGACAGATTAACAAAGTCCTTACTTATGTTTTTGCTTATTACATGCATTCCCTTACAATCCGTTCACTGTGTACATTTTGTAATCTTCTTACAACACCTTCAAAACATCAGAATCACTTATGTTTTGTTTTATTTATCTAAGTAGGCTGTGTTTAAAATGCATTGTTGCGGATCTATATTGATGAATATGTGATTTTAGTATCTTGTTTTCATTTTGTTATAATATAGGTCAATTATGAGATATAAAGGCCAAGAATACGTAACACTAGTTTTACTGGCTGCTGTTATATACTTTTATATTTCATGGAAGAACAGATCGATACTAGTAAGTACTAATATGTTTTTGTAGACTGCTGTTTGTCTTTTAAATGTTTAGTTTTGTTTTGTATTTTGTCTTGGTGTTTTCACTTTTGTCTTTAATATTCCTTCTGTATCGTCCGCTTCTTTCTGTAGTATACGTCAACATGGAGAAATTTCGAATCCAACAAAATGAATTCCACTTTATACATGTATCTGTAAAACCATTCGAAATTTGGGGTCTTAATGCTCTTCAACATTCTACTTTATTTGGCCTGTTGAATGTTTTTGATTCGTTCGTCACTGATAAGTTTTTTGTAGACAAAAGATGCGTCTAACGTATAAAATGTTAATAATGTTAAAAATGATATCTATGACGAGTGTATCTATATCCAAACTCTAGGTCACATAGATTCACGAAAAGAGATACACAATATAGTACTCAAGATGCGTATTAATATCAATTGTTTTAGAGAGGTAATATGACACATAAACAAACATACCACTGACGAGATTCATTGGTCAATGGTTACACAATTAATACATATGTGACATTATCTTTTATCTCCAACAATTAAAAACATGTTGTAGTATATATACGTAATTTATCTAAAGTGAAGTATGTGTATATTCATCGTTGTTTATTTTAGAGATCACGGTATTGGACGGTTACTAACATTATGAATTTAAAATCAAGGTTGATACACGAATCAACAAATAAAAAAAAAAATAAACGGAATAATGAGTAATATTTTAATTGTTCCCAATTGCATCTAAAATGCAAAGGTAATTTGATTCTTCCAATAAAGAAAACAAAAACACACACCGGCTGAAATATACTTTCCCCTGTGATCTGTTGACCTACGAAAATGTAACTGGTGTTTTTTATGCGAATACGATTGGCGCATTGTTCTATCGATAATACGACATGATAGCCATCATCCACCAATGATGCGAAAGACGAAAACGTCCGATGTTCTTTAAATCTTTCAGAAGTTTACCATCAATGTTTCGAATAATAAAATATCCAATATTTCTGACAAAAAAGAAATATTTGTAAGAGCTTTAGTACATTATACATTATAAACACCGGCAATGTTTTCTTTCCTGTCTTCCAACCGCTTCAATGGCAAAAAATATAGAGAGTTTTCAAGATCGTTTTTATTATGCAATGCTATTACTTAAACTTTAAAAGTAGAGATTCATTTTGAATATAGCGTACTTAAACATCTATGCATCTTGTCTAAGATGCTTAACTTATGGGTATGTTTTAATATATATAGTAATGTAACATGAGTATTAAGCAGTATGAACTTAATACAACAATATGGATCCAATAATGAAATACTTACCCTTATATTCCTTTTTTTCAAGTCAAGCATAGTGCTGGAAACCTTGCATTTAAATGAATATTCCTAAATACTTACATAATAAGTAAATTGTTACTGGTATTCGTATTAACTTAATAATGTCTCCCTAATATGTAGTCCAGCTTACGATCATGTCCCGATAAAAAACAACGAATTAATTTTCAATTTAACGAACATTGATTTTGAACTTGTATCTTCAAATTTAGCAACTTCTCGGATAAACATTGCACCCAACTGTAAATTTACATATGTGTCTGATCAACCTCGGTATTTGCCAAGGTTTGGCTTTACTTATTGTCCTTTTTGGTTTTATCAACTATTCAACGTTTGAATTACTGTTTAATCTTTTAAATTTTTTGTCCTTGAGCATCACGGAAGAAAATCATGTTATTAACAATCTGAATCGACAAACAAAAATTGTAAACACTCCAAATTTCGGCAGCAATTCTCTAATGAGATGAAAGTAACATAAAATTGAGAATGGAAATGGGGAATGTGTCAAAGAGACAACAACCCGACCATAGAACAGACAACAGCAGAAGGTCACCAACAGGTCTTCAATGCAGCGAGAAATTCCCGCACCCGGAGGCGTCCTTCAGCTGGCCCCTAAAAAAATATATATACTAGTTCAGTGATAATGAATGCAGTGTTCTTGAAATAATTTATTCGTCCTAAATATAATTTAGAGAATGACAATGTGAATTTCAAAGTAGGTAGCTAAAATAACTTTGTTTAAATTTCGTTACTTATTAAACATGTTCATCAGAGTAAATTGATATAATTTTTATTCATATTTCTATAGCAATATTCATACTTTCAAAATATTCATTCGTAATGACAATAACTTCTTTTAATTTAAAATCATTTGCATTTGATTTAATCATAACGGTTTGTACGAAGCATGTCAACGATATGTAAAAAGACAGTTTTATGGTCAACAAACGTCGACATTTGTCATCCAATAAATAACACATCAGGATATGTATGAATAGGTCTACCTCTGAGAAAACATATATATGAAAAATTGGGATGTGAATTTTATGTCTATAAAACACAAACAAAACGCGTAAAACTTCAGCAGATATCTTTCGGTCTAAGTATATCTCTCTTATTTATTTCATCGACCAATCTATAAAACCCTATTCCCAACAGTAAACTCCTGTTTGTATAAATTGTTGCTAAAGTCTTAATTTGATGTCATGGGATGGACAAAATCCTTAAAAAAAAAAAGTGCTCACATAAAAGGGTTTATCCAAACATCTTTTAATGTGATGTTACAATATGTACCTACTACTCCGTGGGGGGGAGGGGGGGTGGGGGGGGGGGGTGGAGGGGGAATGACATTTAGAGTCTATGGAGGTCTGGCAAAGTCAGTTCTGAAACTTAGCATCAGCATTTGTATTTTTCGCGTTACGGTTTGACAGAAACTAAACGGATCGGTGATTATTTGGTAACTAGTTTACGAATAATTAATAGATGATTAATGATCGATGATAAACAAAAATATTTAACTTATTTCACGAACCATATTTGAGAGAGTCCCTGAAAACGGTCAGCGAACAATAAGTTTAGATAACTTTATGAACTGATCTGACTGATACATATATAAAATACATGCATAGCCGAAACGAACAGGCAATAAACACGATTCTCGAAGAAAACATCATAATTAATCAATTCTATGTTTATTCATCGGAACGACGAATGAAAAACAAAAGCACAAATTAGTTTTGGTCCTTGGTACATTTATCTGATATCATGTAACAACTAATCATTGAGTGAAATTGGCCATTCAATTGAGATGAAGATAAAACATTGTAAACAACTAGTCAACATTGCAGCTTGTAAACGATTTTATATACAGGTATCTCCCCCTTCAAGGTATTGCTCTAGCGACACACCATGCGTTGTATTGTCACTATAACGAATTTGTTGACCAGTATACGTAGGATTTATCTATAGCTGTGTTGATTCAAAATAGTTATCTTATAGGGGTACTAGTTTTAATTCTTTAAATGTTTAAACAGGCGTTAATTCATTAGATTGAGTCTTTTTCCCTTGCATGGCATAATATTGAGCTTGATTTGCCTTGGGGGTGTTGCATGTAAAAACATGAGATGCTAACCAAGTTGTCGTAGCCACAATCCCAATTGAAAAAAATGAAAACAACACGTTATAACTTTCATGCATACGAAGCGCTTTTCTGGATATACCTTCACCAGGAACGTTCAAAGCCGAACATTTGAAAGCCAAGGATGTATAAGAACCGAAACAATTGAAGATCTATATAATCAAAAGGGACCTAATAGAATAGTCAAATACATCTAAGATAAACTTTGCCTGAGGGTTTTGCAACCTCAGTTTCTTCACAATATCAAAATTTATAAACAGACAATTTATACATAAATATGACATCCCCGAATTAGTGTTGTCAGCGATGTTGTAATTACATGGGCAACATAAAAGGCGTCACATTTGATACAGGATATGTTTACCTCTCAGACTTCCTGAAATCACTCCTGATTTTCGTTGGGGTTCCAGTTGAACAGTCCTTAATTGCTATGTTGTGTTGTGTTTACTGTTGTTTGTCTAATAATCTTTTTTTTTTATTTTTCCCATGGTGTTGTCAGTTTGGTTCTAGTTATGAGTTTGCATATCACTTTGCTATCTTCTGCATGTCCTTTACGAAAAGGATTAGGTTGCATTCTTAAAAGAATATGTAAAACAGGATGTAAGACAGTATGAAAAAGCAGTAAAAACAGTTTCTAAAACAGTCCAAAACAACAATAGATTTGATTTAAGATCAATATGAGCTCAGATACAAAGAAGAGTTGAAGTTATAGAACTAAATGCACAATCGCTAGAGGTACAAAACTTACAGTCAAAAGAAACTAAAAAAAAATATAAAAATTACATATTAGTTATTACTTGACAAATGTATTGCCAATATTTGAAAAAGGGAAACTACATTGAACTAACTGGCGAATACGATCAAGCTCCGCAATTCCATATGTTATGTTCCAAATGTATACATTTTGTTATCCGGCACCCAAGACCGAAAGAATAATCCAGGAAAAGAAATTCATTAACATTTTCGAACACTAAACCGGGTATACACAATAAAAGTAATGTCCCATAATAGTGGAGCAGCGAATGTTGAAAAAAACCGCTTAGTTAACGAGTTTAATTACCTAAATACCTCATGGAATATTAATGTATAAATAGTCTATCGATTATTCAACTTAAAAAAACATGTTTGTCGTAAATATCAAATGTGGTGACAATGACGTTAAAAACGACCTTAACTGACGTTATTAAACTGTCACCGAAGACCCCACTTCTATTTCGATAGACTTATCTCATAATTAACCCTTTTCGAAACATGATTTGTAAACTAAATTGGTTAATAGGGTTACTCTTGAACTTAATACATTATAACGACATTTTGAATGAGTACTATATTTAAAGCACAGAGCATCTGAAAACTGTGGAAAAACAAAACAAAAATCACTATTTTCACCTAGCCTTATTTGCACGTGCAATTAATGTGCTTTTTACAGGTACAACCGTAAAGCCGTCGTATAATACTTAATCGACTCAATTTACTTTCTGAAGAAAATTAGTAATAAGCAGTATAATTGGTAAAACATGTGCATTT